ATAAAATATAGATAAATGTATGAATATATACCGTAACTATGAAATGGAAAATTATATTCAGTTACTCTGACTATCCATGAACAAATGCAGATTTTTCAGCGATCAACTGAGTAAATTCTTTGGAGTTGTAAATACAGTTACCAGATGATATACATTTCAAATAGGATTTGAATTTTTTGGAGGTGAATCTCAAAATTGAGATAGTAAGTTGTTAATTTAAGAGTCCCGTATCAATTTTGGTAGTTTTTTGAAGCCTTGTTTTTGATTTTGGTTCAAATAGTCTGGTTTCGAACCTTGTGTCATATTCATGTATCTCTTCATGAGTTTCATAGCATTCAGTATTATTTTCAATATATATTAGTTTGTGGTATAAAATTAAGGCATAAACAGTCATTATTTCTAGAGCCGGAAAGGTCTACAACTACAACATTTCCCAATGAACCATCTGATGATGGCTTCCTGATCAAGCCAACTTGCTAGGTAAATAGAACATCAAGAAGTTTGATGCAGTTCCGGTTTGTGGGAGATTTACGCTTGAGAAAGCTATTATGTAGCGAAATAAGTGTTACGGTTTTTGTAAAACCCTTTATAGTGAAAATCATACAATGAACTGTATTAATTAGATTTATTTACGTTTGGAAATATAAGTTGACATAATCGGTCTAGTTGTCATGCTGTTAAGTTTTAATATCAGTTAATAACGACGGTAATAATTCATTTATTCCACAGAAATAACCCATGAAATAAATAAAGAGAATAAATAACGAAAACATCACTAAACTAGTTAACTGAAATTATTCTTGGAACTCTTGGGTAAAAAAGCTGGCAACATCAACAGAATTAGACTTCACTTCATTATTATTATTTCTGATAGAAAAAGTTCTGATTTTTGAATCAACATATTTGAAACACTTTTGTTGCTTTCTTATTGATGATATGTTTCTTGTGAGCAACGTGTAATAATGGCCTATTTCGTGTCGAGTTTTGATGATCTATAAAGACTTCATGAACGTCTGTGGGGAAAAATTGCAAATGGATATTTTCTATTGTAGGTACTTTCTGTAACGAAACGGAAGTCACACCTGTGTCGCTATAAGTATCCATCACAAACACAATTCAGTCAACAAAATCCTGAAATTCGGGACTCAATCTTTCTACAATCGGCTACTCGTTTGACGGTTGTCACGTAAATCTCGTGTGTCCTCCACTATTCACTGTAATAGCATGTGGCGAGGGTATAGAGTATCACATTTAACCCAATATCCTTTAACAAATAGGACATACTTGGGTAGCTTTTGCCAGTAATTTTTTCTGCACTTGTAGATTTCACAATTTACTGTGGTTTTATTCTTCAATTGAAAAACACCTTAAGCTTCGTTTTAGGTATCTTTGGCAAATAAATCTTACTTGAATTATGAACAATTTCGGCAAGTAGTTATTTGGAAAACACGACTGTGGAAATGATAATGATTCTATATTTAACTTCTGGAGAGAAGTAGCATTCATACACAATACTTTTACTTCAACAAATGTTTTGTTATGAACAAAATCTTCCAAATTACCATAGACCAGTCGCTTTCGTATCAGTGATATCAAAAATCATGGAGAAAGCCGTGAACCACCATATCCTCAAATATTTGGAAGGCTTNCCAATGCTCCTGCACGATCCTTCAACAAAAATGATGGGATCATATCTGGGCCTGATGTCACTTTGTCCTTTAGTTTTTTAGTTGCAGATATAACCTCATTTTCTTGAATGATATAAAAATGAATATGAACATTATTATTCACTGTACCAACTTTGTTCAAAAGTGAGCCAAATTTTGATTACACCTCACTGAAAAAATTATCGAAGGCATCAACAATGTCTTGAGGATTCTCGAGTTCGTTTCCTAAGTAGGTTACTGATACTGGTATTCTTGTGCTGTTATTCTTAGAGTGAACATATATGACCAGAATCTGCTAGTATCTCGAGACAACATTGTTTGTATATTTGCAAGATAGTTATCAAGGGCAATAAACTGCCTACAACATCAACTGCACTCATTTCACTCTAGACCAATACTCTGTGGAACAATACTGTGATTGGAAAAAACGGGCGCATTTGGCTGAAAAATTATTGTTGTTCCATCAAGACAATACACCAGCCTCCTCTGACGAGCCGCCGCTGCTGATTATAAAATATTAGAAAAATGCATCCGTAACTGTACCATAGCCATGGTGAATTATTGTGTTGGTGTATCACTCATGAACTTTGAATCGCAACGGAACTTCCTGGAAAAAGCTATGATCCAGAATCATCTCCGCAACGTAATCCCCTTGAAAATTCTCAGAGAGTTTACTTGTCTTCCAATTTATCTCGTTCATCTTGATAATTTGATTTCAACCCTGTACTTGACGCGGACTTTGTGTGCAGAATTTAATGGAACGCAATTTTAGGAACAATCCTTTAGTGTGATAACGCTTTGAGCTATCCTATATATCCTTTAGAAAGCCATCATCCGTCGTCAACATTCCTAGGGGATAAATTATAGTACATTGTCAGTAAATCTCAGTAATGGTAATGTGTATAACTCCGTCAGAGATATTTATAGTCCTAAGTAGATTAGTGGGGTAACGACAGAGCAATTGGGCAATAGGAGAAATTTGCCAACCAAGCTTTAGAAGGAATGAACTCCGCAATAAACCGCCGAGCTGCGTTGATCTGCTTTTCTTGAATGAGAACGAGTCTGCACTGAGTGGTTCATTCAGTTCCTCTCTTTGGTATTGTTTCATTTACAATGATAATCCATTTAACTTTTGGGTGACTTGAATTTTTCATGAATAATACATTATCATGGAGTCGCCAATTCGAATCAGTTGATAATGAAAAAGAACTATGGCACTAAAATTTATGAATATTACTGGTGTTTTTTCCCAACACCAAATCGTTTTCTTTAACACTTCGACACGTGTTTCGATCACCAAGTGATCAACTTCAAAGAGGAAGATTAAAACTAGAAACTGATGCGAGGTAACTTCCATTGTCTACTATATAAAATGATTTGAAATCCCTGAAACAACTAAAAAAGAAGAATTGAAAATGAATAGCTGAAAATAACAATTATATTAACCAAAATAAACCTGAAATGAAATAATAGTGAAATAAAAAACAAGTAAAAATAGAACAATTGAATAAATANTATGCCCTGAAACTTTAATAAACATTTAAAATTTTGTCCTAAGGTAGACCGTTTAGTACTTGACATTAAAAAAAAATTATTGGAATTGATTTACAACTTCAAATTTCAGAGGGGTGTTTCCATTAAAAATGGGTCACATTGTATAATCATCTTCACTCGTCTCTGAAGGCACTAAGCCCTGAAAAATTCAAATGAACAATTGAAACGTTTCTTCTCCAATACTGTTTCATAACATTGAGAAATATAATGACGTGCAGGGTCTTTAACTTGTGAAAGACATCATTAAATCCTTAGTTTATTGATTTCATATTTATGCTTTCAACTCACCTACGCTGTTTACTTTTTTTTCTATGGATGATTTTCACTTTGTAACTTCGAACAGGAATTTCTGTATAAACATATAATAGTATGTAAAATAGTCAAATAAAGAACTTTATATCGTCGAAATATCTATCTATTCATCCGTCCCCATTTTCAACGAGAAACCATGTGTACCAAACCTCATCTCTGAAAAAATTTGAAATTCGCCGGGCATACACCCAGATAATGATAATGATAATAATTTACATTTAGGAGTGTACAGCAGTGTACAGAGTGTACTGTATACAATGCTGGGACTGCAACAAATTCTATATCGGTTCTGACCCATTCTGGACCTTTTCGGACCTCCGATCGGAACCTTGTGGAACACTCAACTGTAGTTGTGACGTAGTCGTCCGCACTCCTCCACTTTTCGTCATTACCCAGTCGACCAATCAAAAACTACCGCGCATTCAGTGGGAAATTCAAATCAGTAGATGAGCAAGCTTGGTCCAAGCCCACTTCAAGGTCGTGCGTCGATGACGTCACACGTTTCTCTCTCCCACTCACTAAAGTCTCTCTATGAAATACTTACCAAGTTCGAATTATATCAAGGATTTTACGTATAGCGCCATCTGCCCATGAATAGATCA